AAAAGCACGAAGCGTGTGTTTTTCACCATTTTAAAGTCAAATGTCCATAGCTTTTTAACCTTCGGCCAAAAGGCTGCAGTCCACACTAGCCTGATTTGTAAAGGGAAAATGACTCCGTTCACTCAGGGTGCGAGTTGGGAAATTAGTATCTTGGTCCTTCACAAGATAGCTTTTATTCTGCCAAAATGATTTCTTCTCGTCACTGTCAGTCCATCGCATGAACTCTCTCGTCAAGTAGAATCCTACAGGCTTGAACTCTCCTCAGCCCCGAAGTTGAACCCTGGACATTTGGGAACGGTGTAAAATTTATTACCGCTTTGTCCAAGAAACGGTGAATTGCTAGAATGGCCAAGTCTCGTTTTTTTGGAAAGAAAATATCAAATGGTAACTGGTTTTCGACGAATATCCTGTTGGGCTGGTCGGCATATTGTGTGGAAGTGTGTGTGTATGAGAGAGAGAGAAATAGAAAGAGAGATGGACCTATGAATCGCCTCATCATCTACGTTCACATTATATGATAGTCTCATACTTCAGGGACTGCTGATATAATGTAGTAGTCAGTCGTTGGTGAAATATTCCATGAAAGGAAAGTTTGAAGTCCATTCACGATCATGTCACGTCATACGGCGAACTGACAAGTATTTCTGAGGAGTTTACAGTTTCTTATCTCCAGAAATTTTGATAATTTTTCAATTTGTTTTTTTTCTACTTGTGCGGGGCGTGATAGGTTATGAAAGCTAGTCGCTTTAAGGTTATTTTTGGCTGGTCTTCCGAACAGATTGAGAAGAACCTTTGCTGGTCGAGTGCTGTACTTTTGGAAGAGCGCATTATAAGACGAGATCAGGGGAATGGATCTGCTTACACAATATTTACGGTTTAAAGAGCCTGGCAACTATCAGTAGATCGTCAAGACGAATTAGACCCTTTTTAGGTCACATTAGCTTAAGTTTTCTTAATGAAATTGCCATAAGATCTCACAGTATGAGGCAAGGCAGCCATTTTACTTATTTGTAAGCATGTTTGGACAGCGTAGGGCTTAATGAGTTTTCATAAAACATGGTTTCACGTTCTGACGATGCCTGTCACTTGACATACCGAAGCCCAGCATTGATGTATCGAGGTCTCATTTGTACACATTTACTCTTATAAATGTTGAGCTTACTTCCATTTTGAGTGGATGAAGAGATTCGAAGGTCGGTTCGACCAGAAGACGAAGGCGGATTCCTCTTGACCAGCTGTCGATTGGCTTTACTTGAAGATTCATGCTGACCCCTTTTTCGAGGTAATCAGCTTCGATTCTGGTAAAAAGTTACTAAGCCTTCGTTCGTCATATGACAAGAATCGTCAGAGCAAGGTATCATCATCACAACCAAATTCTTCGCATACTCTTATAAACCCAAAGCAATCTCCTTCGTCTTATGACAAAGTCAATTCATGAGTTCCTTACACTCGCTTAGGCAAGGGAAACAAAAAATAGGCTAACTTCAGGTTTCATGAGGCCAGTACATTGCTCATAGTCATACTTCCCGACTGGCAAGTTCGACCTGCCCCATTATTACCGCCAGCTATAAACGTGTCAACAAAGCGAACTTATATTCTGCACTACATATGATGGTACTACTTTATACGCCATGAGTAGTGCTAGGAATGGGAGCGATTGGATTGCGGGTTCTGGCTCGCACCCAAAATGGGATTGAAAGCAGGGTCATCCAATACTTCGAAACCCAGTTCGCCATCGTATTTGCTCCGATATAAGACTTGCAGCGGGTGGAAATACGAGCCCATCCGACAGCCTCCTTAACTTCCCTCGTAAACATAAACACATAAATATACACAAGCACACAGATACAACTGGACAGAAGCACCTGCCCTCGTCTGTTGACAACCTTGTATCCCACACAGGAAGTGGTAACTGCCTATCGATTTGACTGTAGGCACAATCAACCGGCAGACTATTGATTTCGTCTGAAACGTCGCCCAAATTTGCAGAATCTCTGTCGCCAAGGCAGCACTGTCTGCTGTGCCTTCGAATTTGGCAAAAGTGGTCAGTTCTAGGGTGCATGTGTCGTGCTGTGCTATAAAAAGCGACTAATGCTTATCACATTGTGCCAATCGAAACAATTCATACATTTCCTTTGGTACCCTCCCTCTCTCGGGCATACGCTATCCACGATAATACCTCTCTGGACGTTAGTATGAATCTCGGTGTTGGTGTGACTCGACGTATAGATATATAAATATATAAATACGTATAAAGAGAGAGAGAGAGAGTAAGCAGTAGATAGATTGAAAGGAAGAGAGAAAGGGAAGGTAGAAGTATGGGCTACCGAGTGGGCAGAAGTGAAGTGGACGATCCTGCAAATGAAGCGATTCGCCGCGGTCCGGACGAGATGGCAATCAGGTGCAGGCAGGGGCAGTCCGGCGGGCTTGGGGCGATCAGGGCTAAAGGTTGTCCTGAAATGCAGGGGTTACCGTGGTCTAAGGTGATAGGTCGAAGAGGGGATGGGGGTAATGGCATGTGAACCGGGTCGTCAAGGCTGGGCCTGACAAGAGAAGAGGATGGCCGGCTGGACCCTGTCGCTCGGGCCCCTGGCACGTTGGCCTGCGCCCTGGGCCCTGTCCACTAAGTGGACACGCAGATGCACATGCACCCGAAGCATGTACATCTGCGTGTCAGGCCACGGGTCTTTGTCATCATGACGACGTAGACTGGGCTGCCGTTGCAGACTCATCCGTTCGTGGACGAGTGACAGCAGCCCCGTGTGAACTGGGTTTAGAAAGCGTCAGATTCAGCCTGTCCGGCTGGGGGCATAGGCACACTCCTCCTCGACCTTGCACTCACAAGCCGCAATCGCCCTCGACTCTATCCTCGACCTCGCCGTACCAATCGCTTAGCCCCTTCCTCGATTTCTAATTCCGCCTCAGCTGCACCTTCGCCCTCGCTTTCTACATTTCAATCGTCCTCGCACTCGTCTTCGTTTCTTCCTTTTTCTTTTCCCTCTCCTTCGTCTTCGCTTCCTCCTTTACTTTACAACTTGCCTCATCTTCGTCACTTTCGTCTTAGTTCTAGTCTTCATCTCTTATGTCCTGCCTTCGCCCATATTTTCCATCTCATCTTCTCTTTCCTCCACGCCTATGTCTTAATCTCAGTCGCCCGGGCCCTCGCCCAAATCCTCAACCTGCTTTTCTCTTTCGTCCTCTTCCTCGGCCTCAATTTCAACCTTTTCTTCTAAATAGCCACGAAGAGAAATTGGGTTTCGATTAATCTTCTCAGATAACATTGTTGGGGGGACTTTCATTTGGTGTGAAAGTGCATGAAGAAGAGATTCGTAGGTCGATCTCACCGGAAGAGGACGGATGAATCCCTTTGTACTGCAGCCGTTTGGCTTTTATACGACGTTCAGGTTGAAGCCCTCGTTTTATCTCATTCGTACTCGTGCTCGCAATCGAAATTGCTTATGACTTTTAAATCGTCATTGGAAGTACCATCGTTTCATTCTGTTTATTCTATGTGTTAGCCATCGTACTCGATTTCTCTTTTTAAATACTCCACCACGTACTTGTCTTCGACTTGGACGAAGTCCTCGTTCCTAAATCGTATTAAGCTCTCTCCTCTGTAAGAATTAATATCGTCATCCCATTCCACCTCATTAAGTTCGTTCTCCAGCTCGTCATTACCAGTTTCGTCTTCTTCATCGTCCTCATCCATTTCCTCCTCTCCCACGTCCGCATCATCTTCCTCCTCTCAATCTACCCCATCACTTTCGTCCTCGAGCTCTTCATCACCAATTTCCTCTTATTCCTATTCCTGTTTACGCTAATCCTCTCATCCGACCACATCACTTTCGTCCTCTCACTAGTCCTCTTAATCTTCCTGATCTCAAACTACCTCATCACTCAAGTCTTCGAGCTATGCTTCACCACTTTCGTCCTATTCCTATTCCTCTTTACGTTGCTTATCTCCCTCGTCCTCATCATTTTCGTCCTCTCCCACGTCATCATCACCTTCCTGCTCACAATCTAACTCATCAATTTCATCCTCGAGCTCCTCTTGACCACATTTTTTCATTTGCTATTCCTCTTTACTTTACCTCTCTCTCACTCGTCCCCATCACTTTCGTCTTCTCCCATGTTCTCATCACTTTCGTCCTCTCAATCTACCTCATCACTTTCATCCTCGAGCTCCTCTTGACCACATTCTTCCATTTCCTATTCCTCCGTACTTTATCCCTCTCACTCATCTCCATCACTTTCGTCCTCTCTCACGTCCTTGTCAACTTCCTACTCTTAATCTACCTCAACACATTCATCCTCGAGCTATTCTTCACCAATTTACTCCTATTACTATTTCTTTTTACGTTAATCCTCTCACTCGTCCCCATCAATTTCGTCCTATTCCACGTCCTCATCACCTTCCTCCTCTCAATCTACCTCATCACTTTCGTCCTCGAGCTCTTCTTCACCACTTTCGTCCTTTTTCCTATTCCCTTTACGTTACTCTTCTCACTCTTCCCCATCACTTTTGTCCTCCCCACATCCTCCTAACCTTCCTCCTCTCAATCTACCTCATCACTTTCATCCTCTCCCACTTCCTCATCAAATTCCTACTCTTAATCTTCCTCAACACATTCCTCCCCGAGCTATTCTACACCACTTTATTCCTATTCCTATTCCTCTTTCCTTTAAATCTCTCACTCGTCCCCATCACTTTCCTCCTCTCCCACGTCCTCAAAAACTTCTTCCTCTCAATCTGCCTCATCACTTTCGTCCTCTTTAACTTCCTCATCACCTTTGTCCTCTCAATCTACCTCATCACTTTCGTCCTCGAGCTCTTCTTCACCACTTTCGTCCTACTCCTATTCCTCTTTACGTTACTTCTCTCCGTCATCCCTATCACTTTCGTCCTCTCCCACGTCCTCATCAACTTCCTAGTCTTAATCTACCTCATAAAATTCATTCTCGAATAATTCTTCACCACTTTCGTTCTATTCCTATTCTTCTTTACGTTACTCCTCTTCCTCATCTCCATCACTTTTGTCCTATCCCACCTACTCATCTCCTTCCTCCTCTCAAACTACCTCATCACTTTCGTCCTC